TATTAACTTATGGTAATTTCATTGTGATGTCGTTCCCCAGACTAACATCCCACAAGTTACTTTAGAACGGAAGAGTGCATAGTACATACTTATTTTTAATCTCAATGGGATTAAGTGCATTGTTCTAAAAACAACCAACTATTCGCGCTAATGCGGTGATCAGATGATTTACATGTGTGTTCCAGTTTAATTCCTCCTGAAACCATACACAAAGAAACTTTTGTTCCCTAACATGTGCGATGCAATTTCCTTCGAATTTTACAGCTATGTTACTAATAGGTTTGTTTATAGGTGGGAATATCATATAGGTTGTTTTTTTTTGTATTCAAGCGCAGTCCATTTTGCCTTAACCAATTTGAAAGATTGCTTAGATAATTATTTACACTGACCTCAAGCGATAGTAGATTGTCTGATGAAAAGAAAACATTCGTATCGTCAGCGTACATTATAAGTTCAGGAGAATGAGGTATATCGACAATATCATCTATATAGGCAAGGAACAATAATGGCCCCAGTAAAGACCCTTGGGGGACTCCTTGGTGTAATTTTATCTTTGCAGAAATAGTGGTATTCAGTTGTACATATTGATAACGATCTTCAAGGTAACCTTTAAACAGTTGTAATACAACTCCACGCACCCCATAACTTGATAATTTATGAATCAATGATTTGAATTGTATGGAGTCAAATGCCTTTTGAAGATCGAGGAAGAGCCCAAGAGTATATTTTTTGTTTTCTATATTTTCGATTATCTTATCTTTGATATACAGTAGAGCTTGTTCTGTTGATTTATTTTTTTGAAAACCATACTGACTTTTTGTTATTATTTGATGCTTATCAAAAAAGGATGCAAGTCTATTATAAATAACCCCTTCAAATATTTTTGATATTGTTGGAAGCACGGATATAGTTTGATAGTTCGCTAAAGTATTCATTTCACCACCTTTATGTTCTGCATTGACTTTTGCCACTTTTAACTGCTCTGGAAATACACCAGATAGTTATAAACCTCTGCTCTAGGCTTGTCTCTTTACTAAGGAATTTTAGACAGTTTTAAAATTTTTCAGCTGCCCCTTATCCGTTTTATGTACTTCTGCCAGCCACTGAGCCCCTTTCGTTGTAATATTTTATTGATCAGAATGGATGCTTCCCTTCTACAACTTAGAAAGATGTCTCATTTTCTTTCAACATCATCTGTTGGTTCACTCCGCTGCTTGGCATGTCTGTGATCCATAGACTTCGTGAAGTTTTGCTATGGCTCTCTTAACATCCTGTTCCCACCAACTCTTGTTTTTGTGTCTCCTTTTTCGGAGTGACTTGTTACGTGCCTTTGCAAGCTCGAGCTCAAACAGTTTAATTTGATTCTTGTACGTCCACAGTGTTTTATTATCCTCAGTGATTACTTTCTCAATTTGTTTGGTAGCAATTTCTATTTGCATTACTGAATAAAAAATCCCCTGTAGTTGCCCATCTGTTTATAGACTATCGCGTCGCCTAGCGGAATTCAGGCGCGTCCTCTCGAGGATCATGAGTAGGCAGACGCTCTCTTCTTAGAGTAAATATACTGACTCATTCCCTTGTTCGCCATTGCTAGCATCAGCACCGAACTACTGTTAACGCGTTGGCAAGAAACGAACACAAATCACTTTGCATAATTCGTGCATCAGTGAAATACTAGACTGTCCGTGACGTGGTAAATCTGATCCATTCTTGCGAGACGCGAAGTTTTCCTGAAAATATGTGAAAACTTGCGCTTTTGATTATAGCCCGCAGAGTACACACATCAGCTTCGCAACAATTTCTGCAGCCACGTTGGATAATTAAATGTTATCATCTGACCTTTGCAGTTGAAACTCACCTTGTTTACGTACATATAGAATTGGTAAGTGCTTTTATATGTACGCGAAAAGTATTGCAGGCTCGCGATTTTCTCTTTCACACCTTGGCCAACGCTGCGCCGCTTGATGTTTACGTTCGTTAATAGATGGCAGCACACTGCAAGCGATTCGCTTCAAGCCGGGTGTCAGAGCGAATGGTTCTCCACGCCCAGATAAACGTGGTGAATGACGCCCCGTTGGTGTTGTGCGTGGTGAGTGTGTTGGTGTTATCGAAGTCGTTTGGTGGAGAAATTTCTCAGTCTACTCTCAGCAGTGGTGTTCAAAGAAAGCGCCTTCACGTCGAAGATTTTTCACTGGACGTAGAATGCACCGAGTTGTGACAGCGACGATAAACGATCAGCTGCTAGCTCACGAGCAGCGAGTTGCACTTGACGTTCCCTCGTACGTTAGTGTTTTTTTCACCCTCGCAAGTCACTCTGATTGTATTTATTGTATGATATCCTTCAGCGAGCTCCAAATAAAAGCATAGTTGTTCTTGTTCATTGCATGTAACACAATTTCAGTGAATATTATGGAGCGCCGTGTGCTGCCAACATGCTCGAACTCGACCAGCGAAGCAAATTGGTTAGGGTAGAGCAAGGTTCTGGCACTACCAGGTCTGTTTGGCGTTGCACATCTCAGTTACCAAACTGCCACCAAATTTGGCTGAGTAATTCGCCCCTGTAGTTGTGACTTCGCCGTGAGGGCTTTGTGTCGTCATTGTGCATATCGCGAGTGCGTGAGCGACGTTGGCCGTTTTCATTAAAGGGCCAGGTTTGGCCATTTTGAACCGAAAAGCGCAAGGCGTAGATGAGGCGATCATGATCAGGTCTACTGAAATTTGCAACCCTACACACTACAGAAATGGTCAAATTTGAGGATGAACGCTGCTCCTCCTTCTTTTTGCGGGTGCATGCCCAGAGAATGAGGGCGTGACATGCGCGTATGAATGGCCTTACGTACACGGCAATGCAGGGACTTTGGTCCTCTACATGGACGACTATGCTCAGAAGTTGCCAACAGTGGCATGTGACATGGCAAATTATATTTACACAACATGCGTACTTTATGTGTTCGTCATGTAAAGATATTAATAAGTCTCTAAATAACTAATGGGGTGCATTAGGTGAATGTGAGCGTTATCTTTCTTCATTTTTTCTCGAGAATTGCAACAGGATGCGGGGCTCATGTGCCAGCGTTTCGCATGCGTTCGTGTCCCCGCGGCTGTGGTCAGCGCATCGAGCAGATGACAGCCATGGAACGTTCCTACGCGTTTGCGCGCTCATTGTACTCATCTATTCTACCCAAGGAGGATTAAAAAAATATGCTGGAATGGAAGCTCCCGCAATGCCTTGCCAGCAGAAGTGAAGCCAGCTTTTGCCACTGCCAAGATGACGGAAACATGCTCTTTTGTGATAGTGCTCACTTAGAGATCAAGTGGCTTTCATAAGTTCGTGTAAGTGCCACGTTAGTTCTATATTGAAAGATAGTTGTTTTCGACAAAATAACACAGAGAAAGGAGTATGGGTGACTGAACTTTCCCAAGAACTTTGCCTCCAATGAGAGGCTCACCAAGGAATACCAGTAACACTAAGACGCACTTGGAACACTGTGTTACCCGAAAAAGTTTCCACATTACACTCCTTGGGCGTGCCAGAGATACGCTCTGTTCTTAATCGCTTAACGGTGATACTTTACCATGCCCCTAGTAAGATGGCCGCGGCAGCCGCCATCTTATCAGAGGCATGGCTTCACTCCTAGGGAATGATTTTCACTCCAGCAATTTTTTTTATTCCTCCTTGATTATACCGCGTCTAAGCCAGCGTTTCCAAAACATCCCGCCAAAACACGCTGTAGACCTCAAAACAACCCTGGTCAACAACAACAACAACAACAACAACAACAACAACAACATAAAACGCTGCTCGCGCGCACGGGGGTTGGGATTGTTCGGGCACGTCATGTGCATGTGACCTCTTCGTCGGATGCCAGAGAGGGTAGGGAAGAAATTTGGCTTGTGAAGGCTACGCAGAAGAGCGGCAAGGGTTCCGAGCTCACCTCCTCTCCTCCTCGTTTCGCTTCGCTTCTAAAAAGCTGTTTGGTGAGCTCGTAATGAACCAATTCAAAAAATTTTTGTGGCAAAATGTTCCTCATCGGACACCCAACAACTTCCACGGTTTGACTAAAATTTGGTATGAGCCTGGGGAGTGGCCTTTTAATGGAATGGACGTAAAAGGCGCGTTGCAGAAGTCAGGGCGCGTTCTCAAATGGTGAGTTCCGTCAGTACACACCTGTACTGACCAAACTACGTTGTTTGTTGTTCCACGAATTTTCACGATCGTGACGTTGCGAAAACTATTCGTTTCGATATCTTTGTTGCGATAGCGCTGATGGAACCTCCGAGTGCAGCGGAGTGCGCACTGTTAGAGTCTGCGACCCAAGCGCTACTTCGTGGGAGGTTAAATGCTCGTGTTCCATTGAAGAAACAACTCTATAGTGCTTACAGCGCAAGTAATGAAGACGCCGTGATATATTTGCAAACCACCGGTACGTTAAGCATTCTGTCCCGTGCAGCCGCGACGGCACGCTACTCGCTAGTGGTCCTACTGCGGCAAATCCCTCAGGCAGGCCCGGCATAAATTATCTCGAAGTGCGGTTCAGTTTACACGTCAATTGAAGTTCGCGGAGTTTTCTGTAGCACGTGCAGGATTGCGCAAGACGTCGTTGATGCAGGGTCGATCAGCTGACACCACCACTTTTCGCACTGTGGCAAGAGATGAGGTAGCGAACATTTTGTAGTTCCTAACGTTTGGGAAGGTACTTTGGTACAATATACATTTATTCGACGATCAAGAGTTCATCCGGTGAAAGCGGCACGTGGCGTACGTCCGTGCGTCCTATTTTTCTTATGCGAGTTCATTTATCGGTCATTCTCCGGCAGCCATCTTGGATTGCGTGGCGCGCCGCCATTCCCAATAAACATATGCTTTTACGTTCACAATTGACGTAATTGCCCAAACGAACGACATGACAAATAATTCTCGCTTACTGATTTCGTCAAAAGCGTGAAACATTATTGATGTATACTTGCTTTAACTTGGGATGTTGGTGAAACTGGCGCAGGAGCGAGCATGGCGAGGTGCGAGGAGACCGCCGCCGGTCCCGTCTACAAGGGTGGCCGTGCGGAGGCGCTGACACAGCAGGCGCACACAGCGCTGCCCACAGTCACTGTGCGCGGCTTCCTGAATTTCCGCACAACAGTGGATGGCACCGTGATTGTGTTCACGCCGGCCTCCGACGGGAAGCCGACCGCGACTAGCACTGCCCGACCATCGTCGTCAACCAATGCAGTGGCACCTCAGCCCCAGGTGGGCATGTAGTGTTGTGGATGGGGGAAGAAAAAAGTGCAAATAAGCCGCTTTTAACAATGTATATATGACATGCAAGTGCAAGGAGGGTATCATAAACCAGAAAATAAAACAAATGGGGCCATAGTCTCTGAGAAATCGAAAAAATATATTACAGCCGACCTGTCATCTCACAAAGCAAGTTTGCCAATAGAGCTGCTTTGTATCTTGCCTTTAGTGTTCATATGCAAATACGCTGCTTCAAACAGACTGACAGTACTAATTCTCGACACCACATTCTTCCCGAACAACGTCGTGAGCCATCCTACTTGGCCATCGCTATGCGCCTTCTTCAGTACTGGGACTAGCATTTGTTGGCGCGGTTTTTTCAGGCGGGATAGCAATTTCAAGTTTTTGGTAATCGTTCCCATGCTACGATGCTATGAAGTTCCACTACCTTGTAGCACTCTCGCCAAACATCATCTACAAAGTAGCGCATTTGTTAAGCACCCTTCTTTCTGAGGATGCCTATGACGATCCCAAGAAGACGCTTCTGCGCTCAGCAGGTTCACGTGTTCTTGCATCCGGCAGCTTCGTTCGTTCTGCTACAGAGCTAAGCGAGTGACGCCCCAGTCAATTACTTCGTCGAATAAAGCAGCTGCTCATATATATATATATATATATATATATATATATATATATATATATATATATAAGCAGCTGCTCACGGCTGGTTATTTTTTCAGCCACTTTTCTTTCTTCTTATTTACATTCCATTGGTTCTAATAAATTAATAAATTCCCCTGTACATTCCTTGGCATTACTGTCTGTTAGATCTTAATAATATTCTGTTAAAATACGGAAAAACGAGACCTTAGGTATACACTTCTTTCCCTTATTTCGTTAAACGAGGGTCTCGTACTGGCAGACTTGGTGTCTTTAGGTTGTATACGAGGGACTATTAATCAGCTGCCCGCTCATAATAAGTTCACGTGCTACGTGACGCCAAACATGCGCATAAAAGGGTGTTTTCACACTCGTCGCTTGGCTTATAGGTGGCGCCGACTGTCACTCCTACTTCTAAATTCACATATAAACCCAAAAAGGTGGATGGAGACAAGGCCGCTGAGGTAGCTCAGTGGTCAGAGCATCGAACGAGTTATTCGAAGGTCATAGGTTCGCTTCCTGCTCACGGCTGGTTATTTTTTCTTCCATTTTTTTCTTTTTATTTGGATTCCATTGGTTCTAATAAATTCCCCTGTACATTCCTTGGCATTACTGTCTGTTAGATCTCATTATTATTGTGTTAAAACACGGAAAAACGAGCCCTTAGTTATACACTTCTTTCCCTTATATATATATATATATATATATATATATATATATATATATATATATATATATATATATATATATATATATATATATATATATATAAACGCGAGATTCACTGACGGCGCGCGCTGTTACGTGTGAGTTCATTTTATGAATACTGGCTAATGTGCAGGTGGTTCTGGCTTCAGCCTACCATGGACCTTAACAGACTTGCCGCATTGGCCGACAAGGTGATGGAAGTAGCCACACCAACCATCGCAACCGCAACAGCGTTGGAAGGTGCAAATGCTGAAGTGGCTGCGATGGTTTTTTTTTGCTACGATGGCTGCTTTATAGCAAGAACGTGGCAATATATCGCCTCTTTTTTGCTATGAAGCTTCATTTTATAGTCTGCACTTGTATGTCCTTTTCTCTCCTGTCGTATTTCTATCCATTTTTTCGCGCAGTTACATTATAAATTATTACCAACTTGTCCCACTTACTGCTGTTATGGAGCGTCGTCCGTCAACACTGGTCGTCAACATCAACGGCCGGTCTAACAAAATGGCTCTATTACTTCAAAGCAACCGCAATGGGCATTTAAACACTGACGGACGTACACTCGACAACCGCATCCGGATGTCTCAGTGATCCACTAGTCGTCCGCAAATTGTCGATCGGCGTCCAGCGGACATCCCAGGACTCTCAGGCACATATAAATTGGCGATCCAGCGGGAGTCCTGCGGGTGTTTATGGCAGATATGCGGATGTTCAACGGACATATAGGCCGTTTTATTGTATAAATGTTTTCATTATCGAACCTCCACTAAATAAGCATTTGGTAAATTACGAACTATTAGTGGACACCTAGTCGACCATTACTTTTTATATTTAATGCTTGATTGGTGAAGCTGGTCATATATGATAGAGGAGGTTCGGTGCAAACACGAGAACAAACAAAACACAAATGGTGTTTGTTTTGTCTCGTTCACTTCCATGCGGCAACGAGGCATGACAAACAGCATTTGTGTTTTATTTGTTCCCGTGTTTGTGTTTGGAACGCACCTCTTCTATCTATATGAATAGCTGCACCAATGAAGCATTGTAAATAAAAGTGAACGTCAAACGATGTGTCCAATAAAGTTGGTTGATTTACCCAATGGATATCTCCTGAAGTTTGCACACCACTTCCCATGAGAACTTACCAATTATAGTGAGACTTGCATCGTTCCGAACTTTTTCACATTTGATTATTTCACACAAAATAACATGTTTTATGCATTGCAAACAGCTTTATTGCAACTGCCAGTAATTGAAATGCGTCATGACTTATGCCAATACATTTTTTTTTGTTTAAAAGTGGACCCTTTGCGTGCACGCATGATAGTCCTCAAACACATGCTTCTTTCGTAAGAACTGAAAACCAGAAGTTTGCCATTTTTATGAAAACGGTGATGTCTTGCAAGTGTACTGTATGGTTCCCCGGGCAGCATGAAGACACAAACTGTATGTGTCTCCAAGATTTCCCGATTCGGCCGCTGACTTTCCGTCTCCTCATAGCGTCCATCATGTATTTGTCCCATTTGTGACCGTCCTGTGGGTATTTGTTATGTAACCGTCCAGTGTGTCCTCCAACTCTCTTAATTTTGCCAAGATGTTTATGTCTACTCAAGTGTGTGTATTTATGTATCCTATAAGTATTTTACCCTTACGCAGACCAGAAATTAGGCCAGTTAATAGCCTGCATAGTGCTGCATAATGGAGGCTGTTCTGTTGTAAGTGGAATGTATATCAACAAGCATGTGAAACAGCAAAATTATTTATTTATTTTAGTTTACATTGTACAAGTTAGAGCATTTTACAGACAATATTTCAACAGATAAAGTGTATCAGCTGGTGGTTGAAGACAAATAACATTACCAGATCAGCCTTCGCGGAATGAAGCTTGAACATATCACTATCAATGTAAAGTTTTTTAATTTTTCAACAATTATCTAGGTAATTTAGAGTACAATGATTTGTAAACAACACAAAAACAAGTTTTTACGAGAGTACAATGATTTGTAAACAACGCAAAAACAAATTTTTACGTGACAAACTTATCACGACAGTAGTTTCTGACCACAAGGCGTTTTTCAAGGCATTCGAAACACTATGGAGAGTATACTCAGATAAACTTTGCGCACCCAAATTAGTCATCTGTTGTATGTTATGTAAAGTATATCACAGTGACTTGTTGGGCTCTATAGGCTGATAACAAATGTATACAACCTTACAAAGCATAACTCACGTGACAATCAATAAATATTGCAATGAAGCAGGAATGTGATATCAAAGTAAATTACGAGTGTGACAAGCGTTATCAGTGCACTAGCAGAGATGCCTGGTTGACACCAAACTGCAGTACTTAGCATCCATCATTGAAAGCAACACCACAGTTTACAACCAGCAGTACAGTTGATGTAACCCTTGACTGCTGAACTGAAGGCCGCAGAATCACCCTCCGGCTATGATGGCCGCAATTTTCATCTAAAAGAGAGGCTTGAGACACGTCAGATTAAACATGGGTGCACTTCCGAGGTGTCCTAAATTTCTCATGTCCTTCATTATGGTATCCTAGATAATCATATATTGTGGTTTTCAACTCGTGAAACCCAGCAATTATTATACTTATTACATATCACGCAAAATAAAGCAAGGAATTATCACAATAGTTCCAAAATGTCACCATTCTCCCTTTAGTTTCCGGAGTTAAGTTACAATATTCCAGAATGCCTTCTGTCAGTTATCACTAACAATGTCAAACTTGGTTAAGTATCACTGTAACATATCACACACGGTTAAGTATTGACACAGTTAGGTATGATTAAGTATGACTGTAGGAAGTCGCTTGAATGCACTTATGGCAATAAATTCCAGAAGACAATAAATGAAGGCTACAAAAACTTAATAAAATGAAATGTTTAGTCAATAATAAAAATAAAATAAAATCATTGACGTACTACAGCGTTATCACAACGCAAAAAGTTCATCGTTAAAACTGACTAATCACACATGACACAAAAATTAAAACATGACATACAAGTCTTGAGGACACCTTACTGAGTAGATTATCAAGAAAATATATGTTGCAAAAACTTAGGAAGCAGCGCTAGCACATTCAGAGGTGTTCTTTGCGCTTGCATTAAAATTCAGCCCTAAGAATAGAAAACCACCTTTGTAGATGAGTTATGTGTCCAGGGGGACACGAAGTAAGACAATAATGCTGTCAGATGCCTAATAAACTAAGAATAACAAAATTTTGGTGGCTGCAATAAGTAGGGATCTTTCTATAGAAAAGTTTCTGGCAGGTTGTTTTCTACACAATTTCACTTCAAAAAATTCTTCAAGCATGTCTGTGCTCCGAGGTGTCTCGCTCCAAAGTCCAACTGTGCTACCCATGAATACACATTCAAGGCAGTGGGAATCAGCAAAATATTACTCCCTGGTGGCACGAGCCGTCACTGCTAGCTATCACCAGCCGGTAGTGAAAGGGTGAACATTATATTGTTTGCCTATGGCTTCGACCCTAAGTAAGATTATAGGCGGTCCATTAAGGAGTAGTAGCTGTGTGCTAGTGCTCACTGTCCTGCATGCATAATGATGCAACCACAACTTAACTTTCTTGCACGATTTCTAAGCACAGGCATGCAAGAATTCTTTGAACC